TTTATATGTAAATAGTATATGTATATATATATTATATATATATATATATATATATTGTGTGTGCATATACATGTCCATGTATATATGTATTTATATTTGGCGCTGCACTCGCAAGTGTGGGTATTCATATACATGCCATCTTCGTTTAGATTTAGTTATTTATGTGTATGTCTTTTTCTACAGATTGGCCTTTGTGTTTCTTCATGCGTACGTTCATAACCAGATGTATAGGATACAATAATCTCTGTCCGACCTCAACGAACTTATACATACGTACATACGATCATATTTATGCATACATTCGTATTTTGATTTTTAGAAAACACGCACGTACACTCAAACATCACACACCGCTATTCGCACCACATTCCAGCCGTTGACAGAGCCGTCGTCGGTGACTGAAGACTTCTTTGCCATCCCCGGATTCTCTGAGCTCATCTCATGCTCCGCCTTTTTGCTGGCGAGAAAGGTGTGTGGGGATTGAAGGATATAATAGTACACTGTGAAGATTTGCTTGGATATGTAGATAGCATATTCCATCAAGAGTGTGTAGGTATTTATAAATAGAATAGATTTGTATGAATATATAAATGGAATATGTAGCGATATATATATATATAGAATAGTACACTACGAAGACTTGGTTGTATATATAAATGGAATATTGTAGCATGAAGGGGTGTAGAGACATCAATATAAAATAGTACACTCTCGAGCATTGTATGTATATATAAATAGATTTTATTACATCAGGTAGGGGTGTAGTTGTATATACCAATGTGCACTAGGGTCCAGCAGACTGTAAATAGTCACCGGATGCGTCAGAAGTACTGTAGCAGGTCTCATGGTAAAATTTTATACCACGCCCTGAATAGATCCCAATTCACATCAGCAAAAATCAGCCAGTTGTATACGTTCATCACAATACGTAACACTCACTGTGGCTGTCTGCATTCATTCCACTCCATTTGCCACTAAGAAACTCAGTAGTTCATAACACTACACTACACTCACTGTGGCTGTCTTCATTTCTTCAATACAGTCTTCTGTCTTGCCAACCCCCATCAATGACATCGCAACGAATGACGGCTGCTGCCCCGAGGTGAGCAACGTTTTCGTCTGTTTTGTTCGTCTGTGTGAATGTTTTGCTCTTATGTTCGTATAGTTCTTTTTGTATGTGCGTATTTGGTTGTTGTTGTGTATATGATCTGTTTGCATGCGCTCGTGCTCTGTTTATTTGCATATATAGGTTGTTTGTTGGGTGTATCTATTATAACACGTACCCTTTTTTTTTCTTATATATATATACATATATATATTCATATATATATATATATAGGTATACATATATATATATATATATATATATATATATATATATATATATATATATATATATTCATCTATATCATAGTGTATTATACCAATCATCCAATTAGTGTATTATACCAATCATCCAATCCATACATATACATGTACACATACACTGCTTGCCTTTCCCTTTACACAGCCACTAGTAGCAGATGATGATGATGATGGTGATTTGTGGCCAGACGAAGCACTGTATATGATGGGCGAGCTTTCGCGATGTTTTGACGCTGTCGATCTGATGTTTAATGTTGTGTTCGTACGCACCAACCTGCGCGATGTCGAGCATGTAGTGGGTAAGTTCGGGTGTATACGTGTTTGTTAGTGGTACACTGATGTGTGTTATGGAGATAATTACAAACCCATGTGTATATGCTTGTATATATCCATGTATGTACCTATACATTTATCTATGTAGAAGGTTTGTTCGATGTTCAACGTAGTCTTTGTGCGCACGAGCATGACGAATGTCCGGCATGGGATGGGCAAGCAAAGGTATACGCGTGTACGTATGAAAAGGGCTGCATGGTTTCATAGATAACATTGCTATATCGGTGTGTACTTGTATGTATTGATGTATATAACTTATAGAGAACATTGCTATATCGGTGTGTGCTTGTATGTATTGATGTATATACCTTATAGAGAACATTGCTATATCGGTGTGTGCTTGTATGTATTGATGCATATACCTTATAGAGAACATTGCTATATCGGTATGTGTTTGTATGTATTGATGTATATACCTTATAGAGAACATTATTATATCGGTGTTTGCTTGTATGTATTGCTGTATATGCCTTTCCGGTATTTTCGTATACTCTGCAAATCAACGAAGAAATGGGTGATTTTTTATAACCTGTATCTCAACAGCCCAGTACGCGGTAGACATATCATATTTCCCAGTTTGTGTGCAGGTTAGTATGTTGTTGTGTGTCTAAAAGTTCACAAAAAAAGGGTAATCTAAAATGGCATCGCACCCGTGTACGATCATCCACTATTTTGTTCTCTTGTGTGTGCTTATTTGAGTCTGAGTTGTGCTGCAGTACGCAGCGATGTTCTTGGTAGATGCTGGTATAT